ACTGCTAACAGAGCAAAATATGGTAGAAAAAAAATAAAAAATAAAATATAAAATTTAGAAATTAATTTGACTTGCATTTATAATATTTTATTGTAGCAAGTTGTTTTGTCTCAATAACGTATCTTTAATTGAGAGAAAAAGAAACTTTTGATCTTAACTCATCCATTAAATACATTATTAAACTAATTTTAAAAACGAACAGAGCATGAAATGGCGTATAATTTACTTTATTGTCAGCATCATTTAGAGAAACTGTGATTTAACCTTGAATTTATATAGATGAATTTGTTTTATGTAAATATTTTTGCAGGAACGCAATGGTACATAATACATTCGTGTTCATTTGAAGTTATTTAGAATTAGATTAGCAATTAAACTTAAAAAAAGCTTTTACGAGAAAATAGATTTTTTTTAAAAATCTGTTTATACCTAAACTAAAAAATAATCATATTAATTAGGTAAATTAAATTATTAAAATAGTTTTTTGGTTTGAAACCATACGGTTTAAAACACATTGGTTTAAACCAGCCAACCTTCTTAAAATAATATTAAATAGTTAGTGCTGGTAAAAATTAAATTGCATTTGTGAACTACGTAAGTAAATCACTGAAATATATCAACTAAATTTACATCTTTTAAATAAGGTTTAAAATTTTTAAATCTCGCTGAATCCTCTCTATTCCCTCCCTAGTCAAAATTTTTGATGGTTTTCCATTGATGAACCAACATAATCTTGATAGTAATCATCAATAATTCCATCATGAACCATTATATTTTTGATGGTAACCATCACCTCAATGTAGGAATCCGGACTGATTTATGATGGTCCAATAAAGAATAGCAACTTGTTTTGATGGTTTGTTCACGTTGTACCATCAGAATAGTTTTTCCATCATACTTTTTTAGAAATCAAATGTTAGAATGATCATGAACAACCATCATCGCAATGTAGGAATTCCAACAGATTTATGATGATCCAACATAAAAAAAATCAATTTGATGTTTTGATTGTATATTCCTGAGAACCAACAAGAATTCCCATTAAACCATCATGAAAATGTAGAATTGGAACCATCATGGACCATCACGGATAGTTGTTCCATGAAAATCAAACTTCTTTTGATGGTTAACCATCATAGTATTAAATTAGCATTTTCCATCGTGGAATGATGGAAGTTTGTTGGCACGTCAAAAACCATGAACACATAATGAAAAATGTTGGATGATAGTGACCATCAAATGATGTCGGACCACCATGGGTCGCATTGGAACTAACATCTATATATATATATTTCTCTTACACGGGGACAAAAAATGCTTCATTACAACTCCGCGAATAGCAACGCTAGAAAATCGACCAATGATTGCCGGTAAAAATGTCACATGACAAATCTAGCTTGAGATGGCTCTACATATAGCGCTTTTAAAAACGGAAACTGAAATAACAATTCAGCTGCGGCAATCTTATACTATTAAGCTAGGCAGAAGTGAGTAGTCTTTGTCGAGTATTTGTATTATCTCTATTTTAGTATTTTGTCGAAAGCGCTTTTTTTTTCACGAATTTACATATTACGAATTTATTTGACGATTTTTGATTTATATCACGAATTTATTTATTTTATTATTGTTATTATTTATTCATTGAAAAATGAGTCTCAGTCGATGAGTCTTTATTTGAATTCAAATTTATTTTAATGACTAAGTATTTGTCATTAAAATAAGATGTAATTTTTTTAAAGAAAAAGTTGTTATATGGATTTGAATGATTATTTTGAATTCTTAGTATTTTGTGCATTTGCAATGTACCTAAGTTAGTAGCGAGCGAAGCGTGTTTGGCTTGCGAAGCAAACCATATAAGATTGTGTAGCAATTTTCGGAGGTTGGCGAGCGTTAGCGAGCAGGGGGCGCAGCCCACTAGTAAACCATGAAATTTTTTTTATTGGACCATCAAGAATTTTGACTTGGGCTGTATTGTTATTTTGTTTGAAATTCTTCTAAATTAATTGAAATTATAGAAAAACGTGTAAAAAAAAAGTGTAAGAAAAAGTTAAACCTTGGCGAACAAAGAGCATCCTCAGAGTATCCTTTGGCCAAGAGTTAAACTAAGCGGATATTTTCTAATGTTTGGTATTTCTATCATTTTTAAATAGTTAACACGATTTCAAATGAAATTAAAGATATTTATATTTTTAATATATAGTTAATGAGTATTATAATTATAATTAACGAAAATTTTTTTAAAAAAATACTAATTTTTCTTTCGACACCACATCAATGTGTCAATAACTAATGAGCTATTATTTGTTTGAAGGCCGCAACCCCCCTCCCCCGCATGTTTATCTCACCTAAAGATGAATTAACATCTGTGTGTCATCCATGATGGTCTGTCGTGATGTAAAAAAATGGATTTCCGGGTCAGGCGGTCGAAGACTTGGTCCCGTTTTCTCTTTTTCGCTTTCGCACCAGCTCAAGGGGAAAATCCGCCGATTCACGGTCTTTCTTTTATTAGTAAAAGCTTTTAGTAACGCTTGCGTGATTTTCTAATGAAAGTTTTAGTGACGTAATTCACAAACATAACACCAGCCGTGGATTTACTAATTGATAAAATCATTTCTGTAATTTAACTATTCAAAAGAAAATAATAGTAACTCTTTCTTAAAGTCTAGACTTTTTTTTTTTTTTTTTGGTGAAATTTTATCAATTGTTGTGGATTTCATTTTGCGGGTGAAAGAATTTGAAAACTTTTCAATGAATATAAAGTTATTTAAAAATAGAAGCATAGTTTAACTTCAACGCTTTATATTCCACGTATAGTTTTCTTGATTAAAATTCTTCTAAATTAACTGAAATTATACTTTACGTCATAAAAAACGTTTAAAAAATGTTTAACTAAATGGATATTTTCTTATCTTTGTTACTTTTATGGTTTTTTAAAAGTCAACGCGATTTGAAATGAAAAGAAAATTTGTATTTTAATTATAATTTTATATTATAATTAAAGATATTTATATTTTTAATATATTATGATAAATAAAATGATTGCTTCTTCTGAAAAAAAGTTGTAGACGTCAGTTGATTTAGTTAAAAAACTCTTATGTTTGCTTCTTCTTTCATCTTTTATTATTTTTATAAACGCATCATGATGCTTTATAAAATTAATAAAATAATAATAGTTTTTAAATAAATAATAATAGTTTTTAAATAAATAATAATAGTTCTTAAATAAATAATAACAGTTTTTAATTAAGTAATAATAATATGTAAATAAAACTAAATAATAATAGTTTTTAATTAAATAATAGTTAACAATGATAGTTTTTAAATAAATAATAATAGTTTTTAAATAAATAATAATAGTTTTTAAATAAATAATAATAGTTTTTAAAAAGTCAACGCGAGTTCAAATGAAATTAAAGATATTTATAGTTTTAATAAAATGTTTTCAATCACTGGTTTTAAAAAGTACTAACTCGGTGAACCCTTTTTATTCTATACGGAACCCAAGGGTTCTGCGGAACTCCATTTGAGAATCCACTGCGTATATCTTCTTGACCTTGCTGAAGGTTAATATAATCTCTGGATAATATATTTAAATATTAATGGATGTTAGCAAAACGGGACAAATCAGTTTCTCATGCCACTGAAGACCCACATAATCCAATTTTTCATAGATAATTAAATCAATATTATTACTGCGTCTTTGAGGAGAAAGTGTTTGACAGATTGTGCGTTTAAAATAAGCTTTATTTTCTTTAATGATTACATATATATATATATATATATATATATATATATATANATACACACTCATGGACAAAAAAATTAGCGCACCAAGAAGGAGTCGTCAAAATGATACGTAATTTTACATACGTAATGACTACTTTAAACTAAGTAAATGATTAGAAAATCAAGGATTATCGTTTTTCTTTGATTTTCTAATCATTTACTTATATCAAAGCAGTCCTTACGTATGTAAAATTTCGTTTCATTTTGACGACTTCTTCTTGGTGCGCTGATTATTTTGTACATGAGTATATATATATATATATATAAGTTCAAAATGTAGAGAAAACATGAAGAAAATTACAGAACAATGAAAAAGGGGGAATAGAAAAATGAGAATAATAAAAATTCGGAGGAAAAAAAATCCGAAAAAAAGAGGAATTATTTTTTTCCCAGATTTTTATTATTTTTCTTTTTTTCTTTTTTATTGTTCTGTAATTTTTTTCATGTTTTCTCTACATTTTGAACACATTTTATGAGTTCTAATTACTTGCAGCTTATGCGCAGCAAATGAAACTTATTGTTTTTCTTAATTTTCTTCGATTTTTTTTCTTTTTGTCCTTTTTGTATTTATTTATTATGATCTATGTATATATGCACGAGTGTGTAAAACACTTGCATAAAAAAGTGGTAGTACTTATGTATTTATTTGTTTATGTAAAGTGGATATTTTTTTCTGTTATCTACCACTTTAGCGTAATAAGAGCATTGTGGCACGGTTTCAGAGATCCAAATATTGATATCTTTAATATAATATAGTTGACAGAAATATTTTGTTTCTGCAAAAGAAAAAGGAAAAAGAAATCCATTATATGAAACACGTGCAAAAATGCGCTAGGCACAAATGTGTGTATCTCCTGTATTTCACAATATGTATAATTTAGCAGCTAAGAAGTTACGCCCATTTTTTTTTAACTGTCTCGGATGTTAAGGGTTAAATTACCAAAGCTTCAAAATAACCTTAATTTATTATGCAGAAAAGAGGAGAATTATTTCTAAATGCATCTTTTCCATACCTTTATAACAAAGAAAAAGTCTTTCTTTTCTGAAAAATCTCCATTTATAAAAAAAACCGCTCTTTTAAGGAAAGATTAAATTTTTGTCAGATTCGCATCGATAAAAATGATAATCACTATTAGAGAAAAATGACACATTTCCTTTAATAACAAAACAATGCGCGAGAAAAAAAGAAAGTGCCGAATTAAACGTTCGCCGTTCAAAACCTATTGACAGTTGCTCCCAATTCACAAAGAAGATTTTCTATAGCGCCCGTAAAAATGTTCCTAATGATGAGTTGAGGATTCTTACGCATGCGAATGAAGCATTGTCCTCTGTCAAATGAGTAAGCACTTTCAGGGACACAGCCTTCCCGATTCCTCTATAATAAACTCAACTTAATCCCGCAGTCATATGTTTATTCCGCTCCGCAAAAATTTTGCGGATGTACGTACGATTCGGATAGCTACAAACACAGAGGTAAGTTTGAGATGTATTTTTAGATTCTTGCTATTTTCCGGTGTTTTTTCGTTGTTACATAAGTGTTAATAAGTTATATAAGTTGAGAATTAGTGTACATAATTAATATTATTACTTAATTTTGTGATTATAACGACGCTTTTTATTTACTTTAAATTTACTTAGGGGCAAAAATCGTTTTTTTTTTTACTTTTTAAATTTAATTACTTTATTCCGTTCCCTCAAAAATTTTGTTGATGTACGTACGATTCGGATAGCTACAAACATCAGAGGTAAGTTTGAGATGTATTTTTAGATTCTTGATATTTTCCGGTGTTTTTGTTGTTACATAAGTGCTAGCGTTAAATAAGTTGAGAATTAATGTACGTAATTAATATTATTACTTAATTCTGTGATTATAACAACGGTTTTTATTTACTTAAAATTTACTTATGGGCCAAAATTGTTTTTTTTTTTACTTTTTAAATTTAATTACTTTATTCTGTTGCGCAAATATTTTGCGTTTGTACGTACGATTCGGGTAGCTACAAACACAGAGGAAAGTTTGAAATGTATTTTTAGATTCTGATGATTTAATTATTGATATTTTCCGGTGTTTTCGTTGTTACGTAAGTGTTAATAAGTTAAATAAGTTGAGAATTAGTGCACATAATTAATATTATTACCTATTTTTGAGATTATAACAACGGTTTTTATTTATTTTAATTTGTAAAATATATGTAAAATTTTTACAGACGGTTTTTTTAAGCTAAAATTTTAAATGAAGTTGCGTGCTTTATTCTGACTAATTTTAGCTCCAACTTATAACTGCATTTATATTAGTTGAATAAAAGAAACTTTCATCATTTATTTTATGTTTAAAAATAAAAAATATCATACATCTGATAATTTACTTAAAATAATGCATTTTTTAAATATACATAAAAATTTTATCAAAGGGAGCATAAATGATTTGTTATCGAGATTTGCGTACGATTTTATTTTCATACTTAAATTGGTAACGAATTTAAATCCCATTACCCATAAATGATTTAAAAGTTCATATGCAACGCAAACTCACATTAGTTCTTTCCAAACAAGGCTTTTAAACCTTTCTAAAGTTGTGGTAAGTATACTTATCACCAATTTTTAAACTGCATGTTAACTTTTCTACCACTTTTAATTTAGGTTTCCAATTGTTAATAACTTCAGATTTCTTGAGGTGCTCTTGAATAAAATTGGCAACCATTTTATAGTATAAAAGTTATAAAATGCATAATTCCTACTGAAGTTTGTAGCATTTATAAAATTTATTTTAAAAATAAAGAAAAATAAAGTCAATAAGTTTCTAATAGGTCGTGGTAAATATACTTACCACCAAAAAAAAAATAGCATTGAAATTTAAATTGATTTTTTATAAACTAAATGAGTTCTTCTTTACTTATACCAATTACTATTCTCATATGAATTTCAATTCCAAAAATTCCTTAATTTATCTTTACAAGAAATAAATGGCCCACTAAAGGGTTAACCAATATTAACCCTTTGACGGTCAGGGAAATGAGCAGTTTTTGTTTCATTAATTCGGACAGTATTACGTGCAAACAGTAGTCGAAAGTGGCATCTGTTTCCCACCTCCGTTCTTCCGAAAATGTCACCCTTCTCTGGCGGTGCCAACTGCTCCGTCTTCTGAATTGTTATAAAGTGGTAGCAAATTTCGTTGGAGAAGGACAATTACGCCTACTTTTTAAAAGAGCAACCAGTAGATTGTTGCTTTAACGTTGCATTTTATATGTTACTTATAGTTTTTGATATTTAGTGGTGAAAAGATTACTTAGAAGGAAAAATACTAAATTGAAAGTAACTTGACTTTCGCTATCACTAGGAAATACTATTTTACAAAGCGGAGCAAGTTGGCATCTCTGGATGCGGTAGATAGCTCGCCTCACGCGTTTTAAAAATTTCTTAAAGTATTCGTAGTACATAAATAACAGTTTTTACGTACTTTTCGTCTTTAACAGAGTCAATGCAGAATAATAATGGCGAACGAGCTCAGCTCGTCAGCGCGCATTGGGGAAAAATTTCACTACGCGAGTAGTGCTCGTTACTAACCATTACGGTCAAAATCTTGCTCCCGAGCGGAACTCGTTTGCGCGCATTATGAGGCACGATTCGATTGCGAGCTGAACTCGTTCATAACCGTCAAAGGGTTAAGTTAAAATAATCAATGATTTCACTGAACTAATCGTGTATTATTTATCGTTGTATAAGTTCTTTGAGATCAGCAGACTATGTGGTAGCTCTTAGCCTAATGATTGCAAGGGGCATGTAAAATATATATGGGCATTACGAAAAGAGTCTTTGAGTGGGTAGGGACTAGTATATATAGATATATATTTTCCTTTTAAGATAACATAGAGTAATTTTCAGAAATTTATTAAATCATCGAACTCTATTTTATTTTTGTTACCAGGATTAAAAGCTACGTAGCCATTTTTTTTTTGTCTCCATAAATTCAATAAAAACACACGGCTATTAAATTTTGTGATTTAGTCAGAAAATTTGTTCGTGTGGGAGAGAGGAAACATTTTTAGTTAAAAATTGTAAGCAGATGTCATTTTTATTTTAAAATTTCCCGCTCAAAAACGCCTATGAGAAAACTTCTTCTGCATGAAGCATAGAAATTTGTATCATGCAAAAAAAAAAAGGGGGGGGGGCGAGAAGGGGTATACGAACTAGAAATAAATAAAAATATGTAATAATTCAATGTAACACAAGTTCTGGGGATAGAGCGTTCGCCTCTCAATGAGATGAACAAAGTTCAAATCCCAGTCATCGCTGGTCAATACGAATTCCGCACCCAGCTCGCACAGACCACTGTGCTGGTGTAAAACATCCTCAGTGGTAGACGGATCATGGGTTAGAGTCCCCTTGCCGTCAGGCTAACCGCGGAAGGTTTTTGTGGTCTTCCTCTCCATGTAATGCAAATGCGGGTTAGATCCATCAAAAAGGTCTCCCCGAAGGCAAATTTCTCCCTATATTTGGTCCAGGAGTTCCCTTGTCTTCTGGAATAGGCTCAAAATTACAAGACTATGGAGTTGAACATTGGTAGTCATAAACTCGAAATTGGGTCGGTTGTTCAACGATGGTTATAAAATCCTTACTCAAAATTGCATTTTTTACTAAAATTAGTTCCATTATGATTTTACCCCTTTTTTATCGGTAGACTAAATAATAAGTTTTAAGACTAAATAATAAGCTATAAGGGTAGATTAAATAATAAGTTATAATGGTAGCCACTCTAGCCCCATGATATGGGGCTAGTGTGGCTACCATTTTTTCTTTTTATCATTTTTGATTTGGTATGCCATTCGTTATGAACTTCGGCTCTTATAAAACACGTTTAAATAAAATTGATGAAAGTATGCTTGTTTTTAGGGAATGTAATAAATACAATTCCTCTTGCAGTTTTCAGCATTTTTAAAATTTATTTTTTCAATGAAAAATAAAAGTTATGAAGCATCTTACTTTTTTATAACACTTAACCCCTTGGGGACGGTTGATTCAGAAAAGCATTCGTACAAAATCAGAATCAAGTTGTAATTAAATAAATAATGGTAACTTAAATGTGGTCGTTGCTAATTTGACAGACTTACTTTGCTTTTACTTTAATTATTGTTAGTTTAATCATATATATATAATCTGTGTTAATTCAAAGTATAACTAAATAGTTTTATTTTGAACAAAGTAATGGTGAATTAAATAAATCAAACAATTATAACTCCGCCCACAAATAAATTGCTAAAGAATTACTTTGATTACCAGTTTTATATTTTTACCCTGGTTGATACGGTTTTATGCTGGCACGTATTTGTGACAGTCGGCGCGAAAGGGTTAATGGGAGGTGGACAAAAAAAAATTTTCTCTCTCATGACAAAACAATGGTGTTAAAATTGAAACTAATGTTATCGATTAAGCTAATTAATTTTTTTAATCTAAATTCCAAAAATATTTTAATATACCCTTACTAGAAATAAATGGTGAACATGACGTTAAAGGTTAAAGTAATTTCCAGAAAAATTTCTGTGCAAATTTTTGGTTTTGAAATTTTTTAATTATTAATACTATTAAATTACTAATACTTTTAATCTATAATTTTTAATGGATTTTAGCTCCTTATTTTTTTACTGTTCGTATTGAATTTTTCAATATCACAGCATCATAATGAATTTTTAAAGGCAAAAAAGATTAACACATGACTAATACTGAATTAATAAATCAAATGATAGAAATTTGTAACTATAACAGGGATCTGTTTAGAAGAAATTTGGGTCCGTTAACGGATCCTTCACAAAATAACTTTTCATAAAAACGGACCCTTCACAAAATATTTTAACTTAAAAACGGACCCTTCACAAAGTGATTTTTCTTTTAATTGGACCCTTCACAAATTTGTTTATCTTCATTATTGTTTTGTTAATCGAATAAACCCTTCCCAGGAAGGGGGTGGGTGGAAGAAAGACATGTAAACGAACTAAATTTTCTCTTCTGCAGACGCTTCTTCCTTTATTCGTCCGAAATGAATATTCTGCTTTCAGCAGTATAGGCTAAATACCAAATATTTGTATGCTGCATCGCTAATTTAGTAGCTGCAATTGCTGTTTATTTTTTAAAACTAATAATTATAATTTTACAGTGTTGAGCATAATCTTGTATGTCTTTACAATTTAAAAACTCCTCGAAAAAGGTTTTTTGCAATAACGGACCCTATTTACACAAATTCACAAAAGCGGATCCTGGTTGAAAGAATGTGACTTAACGTTTATTTTATATTCACAAATTACGAGTAATTTTCTTCACAATTTTACAAAAACGGACCTTTCACAAATTGTCTGGACAGACCCCTGTATAGCTTTTAAGCTAAAATGATTTAAATCGCAATTGCAACAAAATTGCAAATAGTTTCTATGAATTCGTAAAATAGGGACAGGGGTGGGGTAAAGTTGGTGTAAAACATTTAT